AGCAGATCTCCCGTTTATGTTGTGAGGTCTGAAACAGATCTTCCATCTGATTCAGTTCCTGCACTTTCATGAGCCATTGGCGAATGGACGGAGGTCGCAAGCTTTTCCACATGAGAGGAATACAAGATTTGGCGGCGTTAAGAAGATGGCAGAGGATCAATATTTTTTATAGACTTTAGTAGGTATATTAGATTCATCCAAAAGAAAAAAGGTCGGATCATCCGGAACCTCATAATCAGTACATTTTTGAGCCAATTTACGGATCTCTGCCTAGATGCCAGTCAGATTGGGGCAAGACCAAAAGATATGTAGTAGTGTTCCCCTCCCCTCCTGGCAGTGCCGACATTGATCAAACGTAATTGGATAGAAGGTATGCAGAAGAGCTGGAGTATGATACCACCTAGTGATTTTAGTAGAAACTGGAATTTAGTAGAAACTGAAGATTTCCAGGCAAAGCGGAGAATGTTGGTACTTTGAGAATCCAAAAATGATCAACCCACAATTGTACAGTCCTCTAGAAATCTAACCTAAAGGGATGCCTGAAACTGCCCAGAAGAGGCAAATAAGTGAAAAGTCCCATCCCTTTCCCCCAGCTCAAAACTGGGGTTACCCAGAATGGAGAACAAAGGAGAATTCATTGAGGACAGATCAGTTATGGAGAACGCCTGAAAGCACACATGTGCTGTACTGCCTACCAATGGATGCATTTTGAGGGCTGTAGGGAGGAGCTCCTTGTAGCACCAAAGCAGGTGACAAAAGCAGGGAACTGATCTGAGCCTGTTCAAGTTGCGGCCATAATTTAACTACTTGTCTACTGGGCACTTCTACCGCCTTCCTGCCCAGGCCAATTTTCAGCTTTCAGCGCTGTTGCACTTTGAATGATAATTTGGTGGTCATACAACATTGTATCCATATTACATTTTTATCATTTTTTTTTCACACAAATAGAGCTTTTCTTTTGGTGGTATTTAATCACCACAGGGTGTTTTATTTTGTGCGCTATAAACAAAAAAATATCAAAAAATGTGAAAAAAAAAAGTTTTTCATTGTTTCTTTTATAAAATTTTGCAAACAGGTAATTTTTTTCTCCTTCACTGATGTGCGTTGATGAGGCTGCACTGATCGGCAGCACTAATAGGCAGCACTGATGAGGTGGCACAGATAGGAAGCACTGATGGGCACTGATAGAAGGCATTGATAGGCGGCATTGATAGGAAGCACTGATGAGCTGGCACTGATGATGTTGCACTGATAGGCGGCACTGCTGGGAAGCACTGATGGGTGGCACTGCTGGGCAGAACAGATGGGTGGCACTGATGGGCACAGGTGGGTGGCACGGCTGGGCACAGGTGGGTGTCACTGAAGGGCACATGTGGGTGGCACTGATGGGTACAGGTGGGCGGCACTGATGGGCGCAGGTGGGTGGCACTGCTGGGCACTGATCATCAGTTCCCTGATGATCAATGCTGATCCCTTTGCTGACAATTACCTTTTCTCTGCAGTACTTTCCTCATGCTATGACAGCGTGATGAAAGTGCTGCCTATAACCGGCAACTGTATTTACGCGGTGATCTGCTGATCACATTGTAAAAGGCCGCCGTGATTGGCCGTTTACTATATAACGTGATCAGCTGTGTCCGTAGGAAACAGCGATCACCGGCGGAGCCGGGTGCGCGCCACTGGGGGCTTACAGGGGGCATGTTCTGAAATGACATTCATGGACGTCGTCCAGAACCATACAGCCGCGCTGTAGCCATCCTTCGGCTATAGCGTGGTTGGGAACTGGTTAAGCTCCCTATGTCGGCACCAGTCTACGAGTTGGCCAATATGTACTTCCTGGTAATATTTATAAAGGTTGGGAACTGCCAAACCCATGTCAAAAGAAGGCGACGCATGCAAGGTCTCCTGCTGGCCCAAATAAAATTGAGAAGAAGAGTGCTAGCCTTTTTAAGAAAATTGGATGATAAGGAAATAGGTAGTGCTTGAAATAAATATAGAAGTTTCAGTAGAATAGAGATCTTAACAATATTAAACTTCTCAAACCAGGAATGAAGTTTGGGCTGCCATTTGTCCTATAGCATATGAACCATGGCAAAGAGTGGAGGAAAGTTATGCTCAAAGGTGCGGTAGGGCTGGCCGGAATATAGGTACCCAGATATCTCAAAGCGGCTTCCGTCCACTTGAATTTGAAGGAGGATTAAAGTTGGCAGAGTAAAGTAGATGGAATTGCTCTCCCATCGCTTCGGATTTAGTAAAATTGATCTTCAAAGATACCATAATGATCAAATTCATGGAAAATATTAGGAATGGAGATTGCCAGATTAGTCACTAAAAGAGCATTTCGTTGGCGGAGGCACTTTGTATTGGTGGTCTTCTATACAAATACCTGTAATATCCGGATTTTTACGATATAAAAAGGGTTCAAGCGTAAGCGCAAAGAGAAGAGAAGAGAGGGGGCACCTCTGTCTAGTCCCATTACTGATAGGGAAGGGGTCGGAGAGAACTCCATTAACATTAATCTGAACTGATGGCCCGGAGTAAATACTAGAGACCCACCCCATCATAATTCCCCCATTCCGATATGCTGAAGCACCGCAAGAATAAAATGCCAGTTCACCCGATCAAATGTTTTCTCTGCATCCGTACCAAGGAATACACAGGGAGTGTCAGTCTGGTTGGCAACATGTATCAGGTTCATCACCTTTATGGTATTGTCGCGAGCCTCTCTAGCTGGAATAAAACTCACCTGGTCCAAATCAACCAAGTATGACAGATGTAGTTGGAGGCGTAGAGCCAGAATTTTGGTGAAGAGCTTAAGATCAATATTCAATATGGAGTTCGGTCTGTAGCTACCGCAGGAGGATGGGTCCTTACCCTCTTTAGGCAAAACTGAAACGTGCCGGTATTCCGAGTGTAGCTCGGGGTAAAGTTTCAGCACCACAAGCGGTAACCCGAATTACACTCGGGCTTACCATGCGGCGGTGGTCCGGGATCTGTTCTTCTCTTACCTTGTACTGCGCTCCCCGCGATGTCCCTCCTGCTGTGTCCCCCTGTAATGTCCTCCGGCGGATGCCGGCATCTGTCTTCTGGGTTCCGTCCCCTGCGACCTCAGGACATACGGGGGATGGAACGGCGGCAAATTTGAAAATGACAAAAAGTGACATTCACTAAATTCACTAAAATAACATAGTAAAACATTACTGTATCAAACCATTTCACATACATTTTTTCCCTAGTGCTTTGTCCTGTGCCCTGCCTACATTTTTACTGTTCTTTCTGCCTGGAAACTGAGAAACGTCCATGGCGTCCAAAAAGTGTCCCTTTAGGTCAAAAGCGGTTTAGACCAGCTAGAGAACAGCGATAGTAAATTAGAACTACTTGCAGAATTGAGTGATGATTCATGGGAAAATTTGTCATCAGACACTGAAAACGATTTTGCGACTTTGCTCAGTGATGTGCGAACTTGGCGCTATATTTCAAATTTCAGTGTTTTTGGTTTGATTATATTATTGAATTAAATGTATTATTATATTATTATTTTTATGATTATTTATTACATTATAATTTATGATTTCGTGTTTCAAATTTTAACATACCCGGGATGTTTACTAGACTCTTGTTCGGACAGATTTCAGTGAGTTATTCCTAAAAATTACAGGCCTACAATAAAAAAAAATACATATTTCCATGCAAAAAAATGTACCACTTTGAGCACAGAAATATGGACATAATCAAACCGCTAGGGAGGTTAAAGGAAACTTCCAAGTGCTTGCAAAGGCTTTAAAAAAATGTTATACTTACCTGTTCTTTGCTATTGTTTTGCACAAAGCGGCCCCGACCCTCTTCTCCTGGGGTCCACCATTGGCGATCTTGGCTCCTCCTCTTTTCTGAGTGCCCCATCGCAAGCTACTTGCTATGGGGACACTCGTGCAGGTTCCATTCTGAGCCAGGCAGTGTGCATCCACAGACACACACAGTGCAGTCCTGTGCCCTCCTCACAGGCTTGGACTGAGCAGCAGAGACCAATGGCTCCCGTTGATGGCAGAAGAGCTGCTCCAGATGAGCACAGAGCAGGACTAAGATCAGACTCATATAAGTGTTATTAGGGGGGGGGGGGGGGGTTGGGAGGCACAGCTTTTGAAAGGTTATTTCACTTTAATGCAGAGAATGCATTAGAGTAAAATACCTTTTACCCTATACAACCACTTTCAATCTGATTATAGAAACCCCAATAAAGAAGCCAAGCTTTGCAACAATAAATGCTGCAAACTGTACAGAACAATCAAATCAATAAAAAGTGTCAAAAAGCAAAAGGGACCTTTAATACTAGAGGATCCTATAGTTGTACCTCCAGTAGTGTTAAATAGTAGTGTTCAATGCAAAAATGCAACCAAGGATCTTACATTAGCAAAACCGCACAGAAATTACAAAAAAGACTGAATTTACACAGCTACACCATTAAAAAATAACAAAGGTGATTACTTGCACACCTGTGGGACATTTTTTCTTACAACCAGATCACAGTGTGGAAAACATAAATGTTTTAGTTCTTAAACAATACTTAGGAAAGGAAAACTTTGAATTAAGAATGATAACTGTATTTCTAAATCATTATGACCACTCCTACCTCTGTCTCCCCACTCATTCCCATTTCTAGCCCACTTTCCTCATTTTACAAACTATTCCAGTTAAATTACAATTGCTGGGAATGTTTGTGTATATATTTTTTTTTTTCTCAAAGATTGTCTTAACATTCTGCTAAAAGTGTGTGTATTAATTGTGTATTATTACTGTGTGGACCCTAGAAGAAAGGGGTACACCTCAAAAGCTTTCCTTGAAAATCTGAATTAAAAAAATATATATATCACTGACAGTACTCGATTGTTTTTGTTGCAAGTGCACTAATATGACTACAATCACCTCAAGTAAAAAATAAAAACAAGAATTTGTATTTTATTTTTAAGGAAATTGAGCATACTAAACAAGTGATCATTACATACTTGATTTCTTTGTTGATTGCCTCCAACTGCTCCTGTAACATGATAGCGAGGGTCTGCACATCTGTCTGGCCGCTTGGAGACAGAAGGTCAGCTGAGCTGAATATCGTCTCTCTGTCATCTTCATCAGAGCCATCCAAGTCACCTTCAAATGCTTGTGCCACATTGGCAAGCACATTGGCCTGCTGAGCCCGCTCCCAGTCCTGCTCATCCAGGGTTTGAATCTAAATGGAAAGGGTTGAGATAAAGAATTAAGAGTCATTCTGTGGTAAGAAAGTACATGATTGCCACGGATCTTGGATGTTGAAAACGGGGATAATACTCATACTGGGAAAAATGAATTCCTTATAAATATGTATGGCAAAACATCTAAACAATAAGAGCGCTGGAATGGGAAAACATTTGTTATTCAGCTTGGCAAGCTATACAGTACATGAACCAATCTCCAGTGTAGTCAGCTGTAAAGCAGCATTTTTATAAGATAACCAGTACTAGTGGAAGAATACAAATAATCCTGTCTGTTTTAAGAAAGTTTCCAAAATGCTCAAAAAAGGGGTGATCAGTATATTGTTAATTGTAGATTTGATGGTTCAGCCTATTCATAATTTTGTAAAAGAAAAAAATGTTGGAAATAGGAGAGCAGGAGAAAAAAAGAGAGCAGTGAAGAAATGGATGTTGGAAGGATGGAAGGGAAGGGAAGGGACAAAAATACAGAGAAAGAGAAGGAAAGAATGACTACTATAAAAAAAGGGATGAATTAAGAAAACTTTATCATGCACCTATGCAACTGACAGGGCAGAAACTGTAGGACTTCAGGAGAACTCTAACCACGTATATAGGGAGCAAATTGTTTCAAGTAAGTCTTCATTGATATAATAGGATTAGTTTGTACTCACTGTAAAATGTTTTTCACCCATGTTTATTAAGAGACACTATAGACTATATACACTGTAGAATCATAAATTGTGTGTATATTGCCATTTACATGAAGCTCAGTTAAAGCAAAGCAATTAGATAAAAGAATAGATGAAGGTAGTATCCTTCCCTAAACACACAAACATGCAACTGTGAATCAGGCCAAACAAAAATGAGAACCCAAGAAGCATGAGGAGCGGTGTACCTGAATGAAAACTGGAGAAAAGAATTTTAGAGTGAGTGCAAAAAAACTTTTTTTTCTCCATCATTCACTGAATGAAACAGCACTGTAGAATCATAACCTGTGGGACATCCAAAAGCGGTCTCAAAAAATGAGGGGTAAGCAAGGACAACAAACAAAATAATAAAGGGGAACTCTTGAAACCCATGAAAAAAACAGGTGATCACGAAGATGCCTGCAGGATCTTGCCTGTATAACTTAGTACAGGTATTAATGTAAAACCAGGTCACAAATAACAAACCTGGGAAGCCACAGGTGGAAGGCCCTGAAAGCCCCAGGGAGCACATATTGCTTTAATAGAATTACCAGTTAAGGGAAAGAAGGATCCAGATGTTTCAAAGCAGAGGCGTAAAAAATTATTTGGTAAATCCATCTGGAGAAAGCTGAGGCACCCTAACAGGGACCAGCTGCAATAAGAAGGAACCAACCTCAGGAAGGTAACAACGTCATTTAGTTAAACCCTTACAGTCCTTACCACATCACTCCAACAAATGAACTGCACTACCACCATACACTTGGTAGAAACCATTTAAACCTCAGATTTGCTGAACCCATAACAAGAGCTAACATGCTTTCCATAAACCACTTTTATGATCATAACATTGAAAACATTTAAAATTTAATTCTAACACATCTAACCCATAAAATACTTTAAAAACAAGATAGCTCCAATAAACCAAAGAAATGCCGTCCTAATATATAAGATGATACACAACGTCTCATGTTCAAACATCATAGTGCACAACTAATACAGGACTATTCAGTGCAAAGACTGTACAAAAAAACAACACCTGGTGTTCTTAGATCAAAATACAATTTATTCTGTTTAATAGATTTGGCTGGTTATTATTGGATTTGCAGGACACCTTGAGGTAGATACAGAACCCACTGTGTTTGCAAGGGGAATGTTGATAAAGAAAACTAATAATTAATGCTTAGTGGATATTAGAAAATTATCCCTCCCATCAGAAAAGCGGCAGCCTATAAGTTCATGTACAGGTTTATATTCCTCAATAGACTTAAAGCTGACGTTTATATTTTGGAAGGATACAGCACCAAACACATTAGTGTACGTAGCTGGAGATAGATTAGCAAACTATAGAAAAGCAAAAGTCCGGAAAAAGTTGATGTTAGTCCATGCCAATAACAAGCAGCCTTATGCAGTACTGGATATTTCCATATACATAACATGAAGAGAGTATCTGTAAAGTAAGCCAAACTAGTAATCAAAGTTCCCAGCAACTGTAGATATATAGCTGTAGTGTAGATTAGCCAGATTTCAATCATGTGGAGCTGCTAGACAGTGGTGTAAATTAGTTCATGCCAGTAGCAGACCATGGCTTTACAAAAATTTCCATCCACATATTAGGGCAAAGTGCTCATGTCAATGGAAGGCAGCTTAAATCTGTATGTACATACGATCCAGAACAGCGCCCTAGAGGTATACTTAAATGATTGCAAAACTTAAACTCCTTAGTGTATTAAAAAATTAAATGAAATGGAAACGAAGCATAGTAAATATCCAAATACTGGATCAAAATCAACAGAAAATAAACAAGGGTGCTTCATTCCCCCGATGACAACCTCCTTGTGATGAAATGCGTTGGACAGGGGGTCACTGGATTGCGGCATGCTTGGTTTCTCAGGCACATTGTGAGTTATTTTCTTTTAATAAATTTTATTAATCTAAAGCAGTATTATGCAATGTGGCTTATCCTTGTTCTTCCTGTATGTCTGCTGTGAGTCTGCCTTTTGGTTATTCATGATGTTGCTGGGAAATCTTTGCTGACCATGGATGTGGAATTGATTACCTTCATATTTTCAAAACAACAAATAAAGGAGTGCTCCCAACCCTGTGCAAGTCAATAGAGTCACAAGCACAGGAACAGTTAAAATCAAAATTCACTTTAATATTGGGTTAAAAAGCATGACATGTAGGAGTGCCAAGATTGATACATCACCAAGCCAGCGGAAAGGAGAAACACATATTCCCAGAAGCTGAAGGATGACACATGATCCTGGACCCAACAGTAGGTTGCTCAGCCCAGAAGCCGCAGGACAGTGGGAATGGTGTGTGGATGGCAGCCACTGGGATCACTAAGATGGCGCGTTTGCCGGACGTCACATGTCCCAGATCCAGTTGTTATGTCATACACCTGGCGCCCGAACAAGGGCTGTTGAGGGTAAACTAGAAGCCTAGGGGAGCGCTCAAACCATGTCAAACCAAAGGAGAGAAAACAATCATGTTTTAGGGACTTTCCCCTTCAGATCATGATGTGTTCATCATGATGTGTTCATCATGATCAAGATGTGTCTCAGCACCCAAGATTTATATTCATGTTCCAAGGTGGTGGCAAAATTGGGTGGCTCAGACAAGGACCTACATGTTTTAAATATTCAATCAGCCTATGTGTTGTCAAATTTAAGGTTACAGATAGAACAAGTAGGCAGTAGGATACTCACAATAGATACCTCTCTGATGACTTTAGTAGGGGTATTGGGCTTTCAGGCCTAGGAAACACTAGGTTGCACATCCTTAAGCCCAACCAGCTTCCTATATTGTCCTGAGATCACAGAAGAGCCCAGGAACAAGATTCCTGTAGGGCAATTGCTATTGAAAAAGTGGCAGTGGAAAGTAGAGAAAATGACCAGCAAGGGTTAGTAAACCATCCTTTAGCTAAAATAAATGTTAGGTTGCCACAACCCAAAATACACCAGCAAAAAAGCTATGAAACACAGCCACTTTCTGTGTCTCTAGAACTCTGAGCAGAGCTGTTGAAGTAAATACACAGAATCAGGTTTGACACACAATGCAAGCTCTTGCAGTACAAGCACTGTCCAAGTATTCCTCTGCAGAGACTGAGTCAAGTAGAAATGCCCTGTTTTTAGTAAATCAAAAGAAACCACAATCACTAGCTGATAGAGAGACAGTCAAGTATATTGAGGGTCCAGCATGAAACTACCACCAGCTTGACTGAAAAATTCCAGTTTGAGAAGTCTAGATCCAGTAGAGCTGCAGAGAGACAGCCTACCTCCTTAGGAAACTGGGTTGTACAGCAAGCACATGGGTATAGCCACTTGATGGAACTGCCCCCCTTTTTGCTTTTGCATAGTGTGCAATCTTGCTGTTGAGGACAGACAGGTTATACATCTACAGTGCTGTGTCCCTCAATGAATGATGAAACAATTAAAGCCGAACTGAAGTGGATAGCAAAACAAAATTTAAGTGACTTTTGTGTTTATTTAAAAAAAATTATATTTGTATATTAATAAGGAGCTAGCATAAAATCTTATATCTGATATAATTTCCTGTAATACCCCAAACAGCAATATTACGTTTGGGAGAGCAGAAAGATGACCTAATCAGTAATATTCTGCTCCTTCAATATCCAGTCAAAGGCTAGAGTAGATCTGGGAACAGGAAGTGTTGGGTAAGTGCAGTTCAGTCTGATGAAAGACCTAGGACCTGGCAGGAGTCACATGGTTTTCAATGAATCACAAATTTGGCTGATCAATATTCTCTTAGCAAATAAAACTGCACTCATATCTATTCTGCATATGTAGCGGTTTACATTAAGTTTATCCTTAAGACTAGTTCTCTTTTATCCTAACTTTCTGTATCACTTCAGTTTTGCTGAGAACGGTTTTTGCTAGAGTACTGCAACCTGCTGTCAATTTTATTATTGTGCATTTAAGAGACCTGGGAAATTCATATCACAAAATTATTGCTGCAACAGCAGACAACACATATTTTGAGTTTGGACCCAACTGTAACCATTGCATGGGGGATACTTTGGTAAAAGTACACAACAGTGAATAACAAATCAGAACAAAGATACTTACATGAGGTGGGGTCCAGATGGACAGCACAAAAAGAGTAATTTAAAAATGAATTAAACCAGGATTGCACAAGAATATTTTCAAAACAAAGGAGACAACTATGGGTTAATATTATGGCCAAAAACATGTTTCACATATTAGTTCTACTTACTAGCAATTACTGAATTCAAAACCTATGTATCTGATGCAGGCAGTGATATATAGTAC